AATTCAAAAGTGAATGGAACTCCATTAAGTTCAGAATAAATGCAGCGTTATCTCAACATTTTACGGCAGGTTGACAACACCGCCTCGTTATGAGTAGAGCCATCTATGAGCGAATCACCAAACCAAGGACGGTCAACAAATAGATCGCTGTTTTTATTCGTAAACCATTAAAAGTTCAAGATCCGACCGCAAAGTTTTAGATACATCGCGTACCGATATAGGATGGGACGATAACTAGTCATATCTTATGTATTTTGATGCCAAACGGCAAACTTTCTGAGTGTGCCGTTTAGTGTAAGATGTGACTAGTTTTTGTCATAGCATTGTATTTACAAGTTTTTATCAAAATTGAATAAATAATTCAAATTCAAAAGGGAAAGGAACTCCAATAAGTTCAGAATAAATGTAGCGTTATCTCAACATTTTACGGTAGGTTGACAACACCGCCTCGTTATGTGCAGAGCCATCTATAAGCGAATCAGCAAACCAAGGACGGTCCACAAATAGATCGCTGTTTTCATTCGTGAACCAGTAAAAGTTGAAGAGCCGACCGCAAAGTTTTGGTTACATCGCGTACCGATATAAGATGTGATGATAACTAGTTAAATCTTATGTATTTTGATGATAAAAAGCAAACATTCTGAGTGTGCTGTTTAGTACGATGATGTACCAAAAATTTGCGACCCTCTTACTTAGTATAATACAGAAGACTCCCAATGACAGTGGGGTCAACCGGTCGATTATTAAGATATTCCACAAAGTGTCTTCTCTTGATATAACTACTCTTTGCTACTAGTCTATCTTTTTGGTCTCAGTCTCGGTCCCTTGTCGGTCTTTACGCGGAACAGCACCTTGCAGCTGATTCTAAGCTGTGTGTTCTGGATTCCTAAACGCATCAATTCAGCCGTTATGTTATGTTCAAAAACTATGCGGAGGACAAGCATCCTCTTTATCCCTTTTCGTTATGTTATGTTCAAAAACTATACGGATACAAGCAACCTCTTTATCTCTTTTGCTAACCACTCTTTTGAGTGCGAAATGGCTGTATGACCACATGTCAAAACGGTGCTACGAACGTGACACAAACATAACTACACAAGCCACCTGGACACGCCAAGCTCGCTTATGGCCCTTTTTATGAGTTCCGATTTTATGACCAAAACAATAATACACCCAAATTACGGAATTTATTACGACTTTAAATCACGCGCGGTGAATACGAAATGAGCTCCGTTTAATAAAATATACGTGAGGATGGCAGATATTGTGGGCGCAAGCCAACGCACACCAGTGCAGAAGCCCGTGCCTTCGTGTGCGCTTTGTAAATAGTTCCTGGAATATACTTTATTTACTTTTTTATATAGCCCAAGAAAATAGAGATCTTCGTTTTAACATTATCTAAGATGGCTCAAAAGTATCATTCGGAGCTAAAATTTTGAAAATGAGATATGTTTTTGGATGTTGTATGACATGGAACAAGAACAGATGTTAACAGCTATGGACCAAGTTGAAGCTTTCGACACAGTTAATCACAAATTATTATTAGAAGCATTGGAGAGAATTGGTTTCAGAGGAAACGCGTACTCACTGATCGAAAATTATTTGTCAAATCCCCCACAATCTGTGCAGATATCAGGATCGTTTAGTAAAGAAATGTATATTAAGTGTGGTGTCCCACAAGAAACTGTCTTAAGTCCGCTCTTATTCAATATATATTTAAATGATATTTTCCAAATTAATTGTGTTGGCAAAATAACCAGTTTTGCAGATGATACTGCAATATTATATGAAGGCACTGACTGGTCTGATCTGAAAAATGTAATTGAAAATGATTTTATCAAAATTATTAGGTGGTTTAACAGTAGAAAATTAAGCATTAACTATTCTAAAACACATTTTTTACCATTTGAATCTTATGCTAGACAACTGCCAAATTACACAAATTTCTATTTCAACATTAATGATCAAAAAATGCAAATTAATAGAGTGCCCAACATAAAATACCTTGGAGTGGTCTTGGATCCTCGCTTACGATGGGACATCCATGTCAATTATATTTTAAAGAAAGTTATATTTGCATCCTACAAAATTAAATACTTTGGGAATATATTGACAGAAAAATATCTTCGAACATTATACCATGCACTGATTGAGCCTCATCTCACATATGGTATATTAGCATGGGGAGCTGCATGTTCCTCACATAACTATAATTTAGATGTTTTTCAAAAAAGTATTCTAAAAATGATATTTAAAAAACCGAAACTTTATCCCACTGAGAAATTATACGCAGATGTTCGAATGTATGATATAAGACAGCTTTATTTCTTACACAGTATCACTCACTATCATAAATTTGTAAACACCGACCAAAAAATTAAAGATAATCATTATAGAAGGTACAAAATTCGTGGCACAGTAGTTCCTCAAATTTTGTGAAATTATACCTAAAGACTTAAAAGATTTACGTTTCGGAAATTGTTTCAAAAGAAATTTAAAAAAGTGACTACATTCTATATCTATGACTGAAATTCATAAACTCATAAATACGAACATCAAGTAAATACATAATCTACTGTAGCTAATTTTTGTCCTTTTTTGTAATTTGCATTCTACAGTTGCAACTTAAAATTATTGGTCCATGTACAGGCGATGCCTTCTATTGGGCCTGTTTTGATTTTATATTTATTTACTCATATTGTTTGTTATCTTTGTACATTGAGTGAATAAATATTATTATTATTATTATTATTATGTACGGGATGTCCGGCTATAAATTGATCTTCTCTAACTTTCTTATATCACCTTTCAGAAAAAAAACATATATAAGAGTTACACGATCTAATATAGTAGTAATATTTTCTTGCATACAAAAATATTTCATAAAGCTTCATATCAGACCCTATAAATTGTATGTGCAACTTTTTCTTCTAAAGGGTCATATAGAAAAGTTAGAAGGGGTCTATTTATAGCCGAAAATTATTACTCAATGTTACTACTACACCAAAAAAACACGAAAAAAATAAAAATCGCTCAAACTTCGTTTTTTGACGTTTCCGATGAGCCTGATCATTTTTTTAAAAAGTTTCAGAGGTAAAAAAACTTGGGCTGGGGTTTGTAAGGGAGTGGGGAGGGTTTATCTCAATTTATGATGCTGATACATTTACACGCTCCCAACACATCATAGCGTCGTTGTTTTGACGAAAAAGCTCCTATATGCTTATAGCAGTTTTTACAGAGTGACATTAAAACTAAATTTAAAGAATGTACATTAGCTCTAAAAACTTGGAAAAATGAGTGTTCTGGTATGGAATCACACGCAACAGCATGCTCTGACCGATGTTGCCAGGTCTGCTCGAGCTAGATTTCGGGGAGAGGCGATGTTTCCAAAGGCACTGCTGGTATTGCAGGAATGAATGTCTATAGACTAATTGTAAGGGCCTGATTGATTGACTTTCTTCTCAGAGGGTCAGGTTTTTCATGTACTGAGAAGCGCGTTGCGTGAGAGGTGCGTTGTCAACCTGCTTGATGCCATTTTTTATGTTCCAATCGTAACAGTTGTAGGGTATATCCTTTATGTTGGAGTTATGTAAATGCATTTATTAGGGTACGGTCCTTTTTCCTTATTTTGAATTTTTATGCTTCCGCGAGGCCGCTGGGTATAAAACAAATAAAAAAGCATTTCCCTCAAGTTTCAGGTCCCTATCCTAATATGGTAATGATGCTTCTTTGCGATGCAAGTATCCCAAAAAGTTAGTTCAGAATTTTGGTAGAATAAAATCGTTTTTAGTTCTTACGTCATTAGTTGGCATTGGAAGTAGAAAACTGGCGATATTCAATTTGCTCCAACTACAGTTGACTCAGCTCGAGGCACTCATAGCGGAAGCTGTCAATTTGACGGGATTATTCGGACATAAACTGCTGGAGTCAAAATACAATGTGTATTTAAATCAAAGTGATTTGGTCACTTTATTTGTGTGTGAGAGGTACAGACTGAGGAACGAAAGAATGACGAATGATCTAATGCGCTACTGATCAAATCATTTCTAATAATAAAAGTATTCAATTCAATAAGAATAACAGGTAATTCATACTGACAACGTATGCGTGCGGAAAAGTTGTGCGTGCGAAAAAGTGCTACTATCTGCACGCAGATGTGTATTGAAAGTGAGTACCTTCCGGTAGAAAAACATTATTACTAAGTTGCTGTAAGTTCAAATATCAACGTACTATTTCACTGAACTATATAAATACCGGGCATCCCTGTGGCAACTGTTTTTCTGTTTTTTATTCAGTTTGTATCCAGGTGGAGCAGACGTAATTTATTTGTTTCGTTTTGTCCTGCAAATTAAATTATTTTTCATTCAGGGTCCAAAAACGGCTCCGCTGTGGATTTAAAACTCCATTGATCGAGTTTAACTACAAGATTACTGTTTGGAGCTCTATCTATGAACTCCATAAAAATGACATTGAAAAAGTGCGAAAGAAGTTTCTGGAGTATCTATGCTATATGGGCGATGGTGTCTAGCCTCCAAGAGGATATGACTACACATAAGTATTGAATAGATTTGGTGTCCCTTCTTTGAAAAAGCGCAGAGAGCAGGCGTCGATCATATTTTTATACAAATTACTACATGGATACGTCGATTGTCCTGTTTTGCTATCGCAAACTGATTTTCTAGTACCTGGATGTCAATCCAAATATAAAGTTTCCTTTGTCTACAAGAGAGTTACAGACAAATCTTCTGTCTAAGCACCAATATATTTTATGTGCAATAATGCGAACAAGTGCTATTCGCTCATATCTTTGATTTATTTTACCTCTTTCTCTAAACGTTCGCGTTCGTTATCTATTTACTTGTGAACATTACATCATATACCGATACTTTTTTGCTATTTTACAAGGTGTAAACGTTATGATAGTCAGTACGGATGTAGAGTGCAAAAAATTGAGTCTCAGGGACGGGATTTTTTTTGTGTTTCTTTCGGTGAAATTAAGTCTTTAATGTGTAATATATATTGTTTTATTTGCAAATATGACTTTCTTTGATATTTAAAAAAATATATTACACGTGACATCACAGTTATGTCTCGCCGTCTTTACCTTCAAACCAGTGCGTATGGACGGTGAGACATATACGTGATGCCATGTTTTGCACGTCTAATCTTGAATGATTATGTTACTGGTGTTGAGCGCATTTCGGCGTGATGCTAATTTATTAGCTCTGTTTACGTGGAAGGGTAAGCATTAGATAAAAATGGGTAGTTACGAACGTGAGCAAGCAGCATTACAGAAGCTGTGGGAAGAGTGTATGTCCGATGATGAGAGTAATATAAGTGAATTTGGGGACGTATATTTATCAGATGAATATAAACCTAAGTCAGACGAAGAGACATCCAGTGACAACGATATTTTAGTGGAGCGTGCAAAGAGACGTAAAACTTCAATCAAAGACTTGGGAGACAATGCAGCAGGTCCATATACTGCAGAGCACAATATAAGCGTGGATGCGGAAGACACAGTAATCATAAAGACATCTTTATTTAGTAGTATGCACGTCTTCCCTGAACAAATTAGTAAATAAGTGGTAATAAGTCATATTTTGCCTGGTTGGGAGAGGGATTTTATAAAAAAAAATGACAGAGTATTCTCAAATTCCGACTCCCGCTGAAAAAGTTTTTTATTTATTGATTATTCGGCAGATTTTTACAAATTGCCTTTACTTTCTTATTACTTGAAATATTTACATATGGGCAGTTTTTTTAGATCAGGTTTTTTGACATCCATAGGAAAAAATCACGTTATTAGTTTTTTACATTGACAATAATACTCACTTTTTCCACATTTGGAATGATTCATAAAAATAAAATATTCTCGAGGATTTAAACGATTTTGTTTCAGATTCAAAATGTAATAGACGATGTCAGTCCTCCATATGCAATTGAAAGCGAAGATGAAGAAATGCAGACTCCTGATTCTGGTGACAATATAAACTGGGGTCCTGTTGACGGTTCATCACTCAAACATTTTGGTTTTGCTGAAGCTGATATTGGAATAAAGCCTGAATTTTATGAAATTTATGACAAGGAGCCCTATGATTTTTTCAAATTATTTATTACTGATGAGATAATAGAATATATGGTATATCAAACAATCCTCTATGCTGAGCAAGTACTAAAGGAAAAACCGACGGCCAAAGGACAGGTGAAAAAATGGGTTCCTACTACAAGCCAAGAAATGAAAAATTTTCTTGGAATTATATTGTGGATGGGACTTATGAAACTTCCACGTCTAAAAGCTTATTGGAGAACTAACATTTTATACATAAACAAAGTAAAAGAACTCATGGCCCGAGATAGGTTTGAACAATTATTGAAAATGTGGCATTTCAACAATAACGAAGATGAAAGTTATGCAAACGACAGACTTCGAAAACTGACACCTTTAGTGAACAAATTATTGGATAGATTTCAAATGATCATCAAACCAGGGTCTGATGTATGCATTGATAAAACCCTCGTCCCATTCCGTGGTCTCCTTAGATTCAGGCAATACATAAAAAATAAGAAAAATAAATTTGGAATAAAATTGTATAAGTTATGTACTGCCGGAGGTTATACATTTAATTTGAAAATATAATGTGGACTTGATAACACAGATGGAGGCAATGCATCATCTAACGTTGTTATGTCTTTGATGAGTGAGGTTTTAGACACTGGAGGGATACTTTACACTGACAATTATTATACCAGTGTTTCATTGGCTACCCAATTGTTACAAAGAAAAACGCATCTCGTAGGAACAGTGAGGTCCAATAGAAAAGGAAACCCAAAAGAAGTATTGAATAAAAAATTGAAAAAACATGAAGTAATAGGTCAGGAGAGCGGTACCGGCATTGTAATGCTCAAATGGAAATATACTCGTGATGTGTTACTATTGACCACAGTACACACTGATGAAATAATCAAAGTTCATCAGCGTGGAAAAGAAATTGAAAAACCGCAAGCTATAGTTGATTACAATAAATCGAAAGCTTATATTGACTTGTCAGATCAGTTAAAAACTTAATTCACATTGCCTTAGAAGGGGCAACAAATGGTACCGGAAACTAGCAATTGAATTAATTTTTGGTTCTACATTGGTCAATGCATTTATTTGTTATAAAGAAGTAACACAAAATAAAATTCAAATTACGGAATTCAGGGAGCTTTTAGCATTATCACTTCTAGGTGTAAATAACAAACCTAATGAACCAAATCAAAGAAATACAAAACACGAGCTTCAAGAGCATGCGAAAAATAGATGTGTGAAATGTTATGCCAAAGCTAAGGAGGAATTTGGTCGAAAAGAAGCGCAAAGCAAAACACCGAGGACAAAATTTCAGTAAACTCCTTGTAACAAGAGCTACTGTATCCCGTGTTTTTTTGAAACCCATCATGCTGAGAAGTTGGACTAACATTTTAAATACCATTATATTATTTTTAAACCACATTATATAAGTTGATTTGTACTTCTTAGCTGTAGAATATACGTTTATTTTATATTATTGCATTTCATTTTGTTATATTTACTGTAACTATATTTTCTAAATTGAAATAAAATTTTATGCTATCTATAACATCGTATTTTAGTCAAATATTCACAGCCGGATAACAGAAAACGTTCGTATAGACGGCTAACTATCGTTTCCCATTCATTTGGCATTATAGCGAGACACTAAACCGAACCACACCGTCTTATTCAATATTTAACATGAGACGTTATTGTCATGTCTCACCGTCCCTAGATTACCTAGTCGGTGAGGCATTACTTTAATGCCACACCGTGCTCAACGTGTTAAATGGGTGATAGAGGGGATTAAAAGGAGCAAAAAGTTTCATATAACATGGGTGTCAAAACTACATTTTTTTTTAGAGAAAAGCGACTTTAAAGTAAAATAAAATCTGACAACGCCGCAATGCCAGACGCAAATTACGACGGAACGCAGTGTAAATAAAGATTGAGTTTGTTATTTTTGGCTCTTAGATATTATTTCACTATTTGATAATGTACTCGTAAAATGCAAACAAAAACTGTCTCAGCGCTTCACAAATCTACTATTTACCATTACATTAATGTACCCCAACTACTACTACGGATTCGTCATCGACTGAATCACGGGATCGTCACACAGACTAATCCTGACCGTCACACAGACTGATCATTAAGTCGTCACACGGACTGACTAGGAGTCGTCACACAGACTGACTAGGAGTCGTCACACAGACTAACTCGCTGTTATCACACAGACTAACTCTAACTCTTTGGTCGCTAGGTGTATGGTCAGACGTGCTGAGTTTAACGATTGTTACAAAAAGACAGTCCAGGAACCGGGATATCACGCTGGCCAAGGGCCGTTGTGTCAATACCCCAAAGCTCCGAGGTTACCAATGAATCACAGGTAACCGAGCAATATGACTATCATTAAATTAACAATCCCTTCACACATCCTGCCATGAGATACATTCAGACTCCAGCGATTGCCAAGAGAAGATAGTTAAGCGGCCATTCAGACCCAGGACGCCACTTCGGCCAAAGGCCACCGTGTCAACATCCAAAGCGCTCCGACGTGTCCCATGGTAGAGGGAACCGAGCAGTAAGTAACATAACTACCTCAACCCAGCAAACGGGTTCCGAAAGTCCCATAATAACCCCAGAACCTGGAGGCGTCCCACCTGCGGATATTCAATAACAAGTCGTAAGCCATAAGTTAAATTATGAAGGGAAAAAGTATAGCATCTTTATAAACATGGCTTAAGACATACAGGATCATGAATATAAAAGTATTATGGTTATCAATCCATGCAGTACAGTAGAATAAAGGAAACACTCAGTGGTTGCTTACCTTTCAGGTAACCCAAAACACTACACAGAATAAATAGCACATCAACACTGTAATCAAGTTCACAAAGCGCACTACTTGGTCTGAGAAGCGATCTCCTCCACACACTAATTGAACTGTATCGCCGTCCACGCCCGTATCTTTAACAAAGTTTATCCTGGGAACAAGTACCCAGAGAAGGAATGGAATGTATAATGTAAGGGCTGTCGCGCTGAGTGACACTAAATAGCCTTATGAACCTTCTGGAAAGGTTTTGTCTGCTACAGGGTTGGACTCTCATGCAAAACATATATTTGAGATATTTCGTAAGCTTACACAAGCTACTAAAAATGCATTTTCTCTAGATGGAGAATGCCCCATTGGAGAGTCCTCCTATCAAGCGACATAACTTTCCAGCTCAATCTTGCCTCCTTATGTTACATAATTTGAATTGAAAATTCCCACAAATATCCTTGATGTGTAATTTATGTTAAGGACACCAGCAGCAGCAGGATGGCTGCGTGGGGATCGATCGCTTTATAAATGCCGGAATCCAAATTCCATCGAGAGCGGGCAGGAAGGGCGGCTGTCTATCTGTCTGTCCAAAGTCTATGATAATCCTTTGAATATGATTACCCGGTTGGTTGGAATTTCGAAGGGAATGTCGATGGCTAAAGGAAGCACAAAGGGTGCTCCCTGCTTTCCTGTACACCTGACGGCTACGAAAAGTAGAGTCAGGCTGGTGGAATTTCATAGATCAGATATACTGGAGCGTGAACAGACGCTGATCACAATACAGTGAGTGCTAGATTTAGATACAATACCACATTGTTAGTTCCCGCACATCACTAGTCTTATTTGAACTCCGAACGATACGCCCAACGTTTAATAAAGCCTCCTGGACATAGAAAATAGTCGAAATATTAAGATTTCATAAAAAAATGGCGTCAAGTAGGTTGACTCTGTACGCAACGCCTGGATAGGAGAAGGATTGACTATGTAGCTATGAACATGCATAAGGAAAAATTGAATGGATCAAGTCAGTCAGACAGGCTGCAATTTGGGACTTTTGAGGTTTTACCAATTTTTGGCCAGGCAACATGCAGATTCGTTAAAAGAGCAACAAGTAGCCTGACTACGCACTCCCCACGCAATGCTGTCATCAGTCCATAAAGGATTTCATGATACAAATATAACAAACAGAGAAATTATGTGGATCAAGTCAGTCGAATAGGCCTAGTTAGTCCATAGACATATTTTCCCTGGCCTACCGATAGTGTCGTCCATCTGGCAACGTTGTCCCTCCCACCACACCTCGCCATTCGAGAAATCCACTAGTCTGACTCGGGTCGTGGTAGTAACGGAAGTTCTCCCTGCAGACATTCGTCAGAAAATTTCTGACAAAAGAGCTGCAATTAAGCAAGCGAAGAGGTCTTGTCACCCAGATGACATTCACAGAGCAACTAATCTTGTTCATGAAGTGAGAAATGCTCTTCATGAATTCCGTAATGAGCAATGGAGCGACTTTCTGTCGGGGATGCTTGACTCAAGTATTCCTCTCTGGAAAGTTGCAAAGTCGCTCAGAAACGGAAAGCGAGAACAACTCCCGCACATCCACGGTCCTAGGGGCATAGTCTGTAGGACAGAGGAAAAGGTCGAGGTTTTCGCTGATGCAATGGAAAGTCAGTTCTCTCCCAACTATGACCTTGATAATGACCTCGACGAGGAGCAACATATTGTAAGATCCGTCAGGAGATATTTTAGGGCCAACGGCGTCAGTGGCAGTAGTTCCTCCCTTAGTGATTTTTCCTCAGAGGAATCTTCAGATGATTCCTCAATTGAAGAGCTGCACAGCACATCAGCGAGATCTCCTGAGACTCCGCATTGCACACCAGCAGAGCTCCAAGGTCATATTAAAGACCTCAAGGTGCGTAAAGCACCTGGAGAGGATCGAATTACTAATAAGGCGCTGAAGCTACTTTCGCGGAAGTCCTTAACTTATCTCGTGGCAATAATCAATGCCATGCTAAGGACCCAGCATTTCCCAACGGCGTGGAAGACCGCTGATGTCATAATGATTCCAAAGAAGGTGGGTTCGATATTCCCTCAGGATTACCGTCCCATTAGTCTACTGTCAGCTCCTGCTAAGCTCGCTGAAAAGGTGATTCTACGACACCTTGAAAATTTCTCGGCAGACCACAATGTGATTCCTGACGTGCAATTTGGCTTTCGGTCTGAGCATAGTACGGAGCTACAGGCCATAAGACTTGTCGAACGAGTAACCAGCGGGTTCACCCGTAAAGAAAGTACTGGCATCTTGCTACTGGATGTCTCAAAGGCATTTGACAAGGTGTGGCACAAGGGCCTTCTCTACAAATTGATCCATAAGGGCTTCCCCTTCTTGCTCCTAAAACTTTTGAAATCCTTTCTCGAGGGTAGAAAATTTCGGATCAAAATTAATAACGTTCTGTCGACAACACGGCCCATCAAAGCCGGTGTCCCTCAGGGTTCGCTTCTTGGATCAGTCCTTTATTCACTTTTTATTCATGACGACCCTTGCCCCAGCAGCTGTGAAACCTATCTCTATGCTGATGACACTGCCCTGGTGGCCCAGTCGTGCTCTGGGGATCTAGTTCACGACAGGCTGCAAAGTGCAGTGGACGAGGTATTGGAATGGGCAAATCGGTGGCTGATCAAAATTAATCATTCGAAAACGCAGGCAATCTATTGTACTAAAAAACGTAGCGGCGCCCCGTCTGAGGTTTCAGTGAATGGCGCTCGGGTACCATGGAAAAGCTCTGCTAAGTATCTCGGTATCACTCTTGACAGAAGCACACTGAAGCGTTAGAAACTAAACTAAATTTCAAATCTCGTTTCGGCAACTCTACCCTATGCTATGTAGAACATCAAAATTAAGTTTGATCAACAAAGTTCGACTATACAAGATGGTTATTAGACCAGCGATCACTTACGCAAGTGCGGCTTGGTGTTTTCTCGCCAAAACGCATTTGCGTAGCCTGCAGGTTTTGCAGAACAGAACCTTGCGTACAATCACTAACGTCCCATGGTATGTTTCCAACGAGACCCTTCACAGAGACCTCGACATCCCTTACCTAAGGGACTACATCAAATAACAAGCGCAGCTACGTTACAGTCAAGCAGAATCGCATAACAACCCTTTGTTGCGCGAGTCAGTAGACTACACAGTCGAGCAAGTTCGCAAGCACACAAGGCCGCGACTCGCACTGTGAACAAAATTAAATCGCGCGACTTCAGGTCCAACCAAAATTATAATTTTTCTTCAACAATCAATCCCAAAATTAACTTTAGGATCAATTTAAAAT